AGAGAACTTACTGAACTGGTCCAGGCTTCTGTGTGTGTATTTGAAAAGGACCCAAGTGCTTTCACTTGAAGAGCTTGATTTTTGGAGCATTTACTGTTAGTGTTCACATCAGCCTGGTGAGACAGTTCAATAGTTTTCTGCGAAGCTGAGTAACTTCCCTGACCACGTGGTAGTGGCGGGCAGGAGCACAACTGACTCCCGGGTCCTTCCATTGCTACAAGTGATGCTTTTAATGGAACATCATCTTTGCCAATTAATGTATTTCTGAGGGGTGGTCCTACTGCCTGCTGGCAGACCTCTGCATTATCATCTGTAGGATCCAAAGTAGGCTTCTGCACTTGCTCTTCTCAAAGCTGGGAAGATACTGGCTCGAGGGATCATAGCCCACATCACTTGATGGCAGCTCAGCTCAAGGGTTAGGAGAACTGCCTGGCACAGTCACTACCTTTCCTGCAAAGCGGGCAATAAGCATAAATGGGCAGACATGACACGTGCTGCCCAAGAGGGACATTCCATGGCTTGCTAGAGATGCTGAAGGGCATTCCTACCTGTATTCTGTAGGTGGTAAAGCTCAGCCCACTAGCCCCAGGTCCAGCAGAAATGATAAACACTTCATCGCTCCCAGTCTCAGTGGTCACTGCAGACGTGGAGGAGGGCACATCTGGGTCAGTGTCCTGAGGAGACCGTTCTGTGCTGCCTCCGCAGGAAGTGACTGAGAAAAGAAGAAAATCAGTACAGACTGCTTGCAAGAGTCCAAAACATCTGTTCCCAACTCCTCCATGGCAAACCCTCCTCCCTCTCTCCCCAGACAATCTGGAGCAGGCTTTGGCTGTCTGTTGCACTAGCCAGAACAAAATTCAAGCCAACAGTTTGCTCTCCTGAAACTGCAAGCTTTTAAAAACAAAACAAAAGGGGAGAGGAGGAACACCCTTGGGTCTGCTTTCTAATAAAGACACACCCAAACTGAAATCCCTCACACTAAAGACACAAGGTTGTGCTGCAGATCAGAAGCTTGCAGATTTGCTCAACTCATTCTTTATTTGTATTTACTTGTCCCTGTTAATATTGGGAGCTGTGCTTTTTGCTTAAATCCTCGTGCTGCAGGTCCTACCGGCAGCCTTACGGGGTGTGTGTGTGCATGTGTCCCCCAAGGCCTGTTCATCTGGTCCAGGCCAGGAGAGCTCTAGCCACAACCTCCTGGATGACTTTTTCAAAGGAGGAGAAGGGAAAATGTCACAGTTGGGAGCACAGAATTAGCTTTTTAGGAAGATATCCTTGTGAGTGCTGTGTGTAATGGCTGATGGTTTAGCGGGAAACTGATGGTGTGTGGCAATACAACATGAAGTAGCTCCCTGTTGGCCTTCACCAACCAAAAGGGGCACTGATAAAATTCATGTGTTGTGACTCAAAATTGCAGCAAGTGACATTATCTGCAGCTCAGCTGGGGGTCTCTTGTTCTCAAAACATACTGTGAAGTAAATGTCATCTAAAGCAGTCTCATCCATAAAGCTCTTCAGAAAAAGTTAGCTCCAGAAGTCAAAGTTGTGCAAAGCCAACATAAGCATTGTAAAACCCATCCTTTCCAGACAAGGTTGGGCACAGGGCAGGTGAAACTCTTCCACGGTTTGTGGATCTTTAAGTAAGTTGTTTGTAGCAGCCTGAACCCGATACATTTGCTCTGCTAACCCAGTGTCTCTCCAGTGCCATGTGCTATGACAGCTTTTGCTGGCAGCGTCCTGGAGCCGTGCTCGTGCACACTCCTTGCCAGGGGAACTACCCTACCAGCGAGGGGGGAGAGCAGTGAGGAATAGCTCCCACAACAAAGGCACTCTGCTGTGAAGTGGCTCTCCAGCTGTGCATGGGCAAGACAGCGAGGAGGACTGCAAGGAAGAAATTATCTGATTAACTGGCCGGGGGCTATGGGGTGCCCTGACCTGCTCCCGCCGCTGCCCTGTGCTTACCCGCCTGCTCCCGGCTGACAGAGTGGTTGTTGTTCTCATTCTCCCGACTTGGCACCACCAGCTGGAGCTCATTGATATCGACGGCGGAGTTCTGGATCCCATTCTACAACTCAGAACATGCCCCAGTAAACATCGTCAGATAAACAGTGCAACAGCCAATATGAAAGAGAAACAGAAATTGCTGAAGCCGTTAGCACTAACCTCCTGGTCACTGCATGCGTTGGATGAGCTCCTTTTGGGGCACGTTCTCTGCCTGAAAAGGAGACACAGCAACAACAACAAGCCCACGAGTGAGTTAAAGATACACAGAAGGGAAGGTCTCAGCTGTGCTCATCCTGCGAGAGGGACCCAGCAGGTTATGAGCTCTCCTGCCTACAGGAGCATCCAAAATACTTGCCAAGACTCAGGGCAATGAGGCCTGTAGGCCAAAGGAGAAAATGATATGCTCATGTAGTGGAAAGTCAGCTGAAGAAGAGAAGGACCCGTCATCTTCTTCCCATGATCGCTGTGAGAGCAGGAACAGAGTTCAGACCTCTGCCAAGTCCCACCAGGCTCCCCACCACCAGCTGCTCTTTAACGTCAGTCGCTAAATAGCAGGACTGAAATCCTGCCTTTGGTCTGGGCGGTGACATCGTTCTTATCCTGTTAGACAGAATATTTCATCTGCGTAGCAAATATTGCATGCTGGATTATATTTAGCAAGCAGAGAGCATCAGATGTTTGTACAAATGAACAACATTTTATTAAAAGACAGTGCTATGGCAGATGATTGCTGGGTAAACGTGCCTCTTTGCTGAAGGGAGGCAAGGTCATGTTCTTAACCATTTTTTCACATTTTTACTAAAACTGAGATTATGGAACAACTAGTGTTATTTACTTTTGGATGAATAGGATGTGAAGATGTTACAGAGAAAGGCTGGCAGTAATGAACATGATAATGACTGAAGCAAGTGTATTTTGTCTTTGCGTACAGCAGTGATCCATGGGACAGTGTGGGACACGCAGGAGCATTAAGGCACTGACTGGATAGGATGGGACCCATGTTACTGTTTTCCCTACTATCTATACTGTTGGCTGGCATTTTTTCCTCTTCTTGTTGGAGGGGTTGGTTTGTTTAAAGGCATTTAATCTCCTCCACACAAGATATTTTTTTTTGGTAGTGATGAGTTGAAGCTAAGATTTCAAGTTTTCAGTCACCATTTCATTACTGTTTGTTTTTAAGAATGGGGACTCAAAGGCCACCTGATGAGGCTGGCTGGGAACCGGCATTTGCTCCATCTCTGGCATGGTGGGTTTCATTCCTTCACCATATCGTCGGATCTCTTAAAAAATGCTCATTGACTGACAAGTGAATTGAGGGAGGAAAAAAACCCACTGTGATGTGCTCCCAGCACTATTCCCAGTGAATACAGAGAAGACCACAGAAAAAGAGGAGAGTGAGTTGGCACTTGAGAATTTAATCCAGAAGAGGTACAGCTGTTTCTCCAGGAGGCACAATGGCATCAGCCACCACTTGGGCTTCTTGGGGCAACTCAGGGCTAAAGCAGGGAAGGCTCTTCCTTAACGCAGTGCTTCAGGAAGGGGAAGCAAGGAAAGACTTCCAAGCAGGAGTGGAGTTGCCTTATCAAGCAAGATCAAACCAAGTAGGAAATACTTCAGAGTGGAAAATGTGTATAGAAATATTCCACACGCGCTCCAGAAGCTCCTATTGGGCACCAGAATCACTTCAGCAAGAGTGACCTGGCAAAACATGCCCCAAAATAAGGAATTAGCATGGTAATCAAGGCATTCAGGTAGATGGTGGGGGAACTATGTGTGATTCCCTGCTTTTTCCACATTGCCTTCATTTTTTTAAATCTCTTGCCCTCCTTCCAGCTTTTTCCTGCCAAAACCCATGACAAAAATTTAATCGAATCTGATATATCCTATGAAATATTCTTGTTTCAAATAACTGGCATGTTACAAGCAATTTTGTTAAAATATTCCCACCCAGAGATTAAAGAGCACAAAGGAAATGTTCTCCTCTAAGAAAACACAACTTAGCACATATTTCTTCCACACTGAACATCAGGCATCGGCAACCCAGACTTGTTTGTTATCTGGATGGTCTTACTTTTGGGTTTGTTATTTGAACTTTTAGCATGACTTAACAAACAAAATGTTTGAGTTTTCTGAAAACACAAATAAAAATGTGTTCCTCAGATTGTTGTATACAGCTGTCCCACTTGTAAGATACTCATATTCTCTGGGACAGTGCTGAAAAGATGAAATACATATTTTAAAAGTACCAGCAACTGACAGCTATGATAAACTAGGATAGACAGAGCAAGTTCTGCATTAAGAAACTGAAATACTTTACAACCATTTGGCTCCTTTCCTTGCCATTCTTTATAAATGTAGTGCTCTGCAACATTTAGCAGGCACCATAACTACCTTGAAATCCACACTGCGGTTTGGCGGAATGAACCAAAGGGGGAGTAAGGTGCCCCTGGCAAAGGTAAGTTTTCTGTGCAAGTATGGTAGAATAAGGGGGAATAAGAGAAGGAAGAGTCCTGTTCTTCCCGAAGTTTAAATTGGTATTAAAAAATGGTAACTGGCTGAAATGTCTCCATTTTAACGTTTTCTTCTTTCTTGTGAAAGTTGCCCTGTGCTCCACAGCAGGCAGTTTCAGCCAGGTCTAGCTGTCTTAGGTGTCAAACTAAACCACCCTGATGTGTAGAGGGACAGAAACGGAGGACATGGATACAACGGGCAGGGAGGAATTTCTGAATCGTGCCTAGCACAAGGCTGGCAGAGGAAAGGTCTGGTTTTAGCCCAGAAGTGACTAGGATTCTCTAGGAGGGCATTATATGATGAAGGAAAAGTTTCATCCCTGGGTGACCATCAGGCTGCAGGCAGCAACTGGTGGGGCAGCTTGCATGGGCCTGGAGAGAGATGGGAGCGCACGATGACTTGATGAAATAGCTGTACGCATAGGGAGTCGCAATTGGAAACGGGTTGTTGGCAGGCCGTGCAGATGTAACATGCAGTTGCAATCCATGGGTTGCAGCCATTGAGCAGAAGTCTGACTGCATTGGACAGGATTAAAATTAAATAAGGTGGACATGTCTGTTGTTCTTGGGGCTTGGGAAAGAAAATAAAAAATACCCCATTACTCGAGCCAGGCCTCATGGCCAAAAGTAATTAGAATTATTGGCCAGCTAACAACTGAAGCTTTCATTCCCTCGCCAAACAGCAAACAAAAGCTGCAGTGTGGCAGAGACTTGGAGTTTCCCCAGAGAGCTTTGCCCTGGCTGAATGCAATGAGCCCGACCAGACACTGCTGACGACTTGGTGCATTGGAGTGGCAGTAGGTGCCAAGCCCATCCTGGGCCATTTCTACCCCTGGCAAGGCAGAGCCTGCTACTTTTAGCTGAGCAAGAGCAGCGGATAGAAATGGAAAAAAAAAAAAAATTACAGCTAAACCTGGTACCAGACGAACACGTTAAGTAGGAAGAGAAAAGAAAGTGGAAGGCAAATTTACAAGGCCAAGAGCTTGAAGGTTACTATTAACATCCTTTGCAATGGCGCACTCCAGCCAGGGCGAGTAGTATGCCTCAGATTGCTGGTCCCATTTCTGAACGTGCTGTGTTGTTAAAGCATCTTCACTTCTCCCCTCAGCCTGCCCCTGGCAGTCCTGACATTTCTGCAGTGAGGACAGGCTGTGGCTAATACACGTGACACCTGATTTCAAGCCCTTATTTAGGGCAAAAAGCATAAAATAGAGTTTTGTGGGCTCAAACTAAAAGAAGGTTAGATGTGCTTAATGGCCTCTGCAGTCTTATTCTGAGCTGCATGAAAAGCCCCACAGCTGGGAAGCGTAGGCGAGCTCTAACCAGCACCAGCGGTTCTGGGGCCAGAGGCCAATATCCTCGAAGCAGTTAGTGCAGTAAAGAGGGGAAAAGACTCTTCCAGCGCAATGCAAGCGAGGTTACTCAGCGCAGGTCGTGGCATCGCTTCCGCGTGTGTCGGATCTCACTTAAATGCTTTAAGTCTGACAAGAAATAAAGTATTGTAATGAAGGCCTCCCTGGAATAGCATGTGGGGAATACAGGCAGCTGGGATAGTAAATGGCTTTTCAGGAGGCTAAAGGACTAGGGATAGTCTCTATTTACATACAGTCAATAGCTGACTGAGGTATATCTTCCTTTTCAAAAAGAGTCGTAGAGCAATGAAAAGGCATAAATGCCAGTGAGTCTAATCCTGGTCTGGCGCCATAGGACCCCTGGTAGGATGTATTTCCAGTGACCAGAACTTACAAACGTTTGTGTGGGGAGAAAAAAATGCATTCAGTTTTTCTCTGTTGGTCAGCAACAGCAGAATATTACTTTATTTTGTAAACATCTGACAAGCAAAAAGTCAAATAATTGTGCATGTGAGCAGCATGGCCTGACTTTCTGAACAGGCTATGCAGAGTAAACTTCAGCCAGTGACATCTCAGACTGCCAGTGTACTTTTTGTTTTGAATAATACTTCATGGATATTTACAGTGAAATTAAATAGGGGTAATGGAGCAAGAACAGCCTACTCAACATGTGTATCAGCCCAGACTGCTGCCATAGTGAAGACAGCATGTTTCTGTCTCTTTTGAAGGTTGGCAAGGGTATAAAAATAAAGTATTTGGTATCTGGAAGACATTTTCCACCAGACGTTTTCCTTTAGAGCTAGCAAAAAAATTGCGGTCTAAATGAGTGTTCTGCAAGCTCTTTAAAATGAAAAAGGTTAGTTAGATGTAACACATGCAAGTTTAACTCTTACAACTATGAGAAGCTCAGACCCTGGAAGCAGGAATTTCTGTATACACCAAGAGAGATTATATTTAAGCTTCACCACCTTGCCCACGTTCTGTTACACCCAGTATGATGGCCTATATTTTGTATTTATTCAGCAAGAGCTAGAAACGCAGCCTCCAACAGGACAAGGAAAACAAAGTTCCTCTATCAGACCAACCTCAATGACTATGAGTAGCTGAGCAATCCTGAGACCTTTTGGGTTGGAGGATGCACAACAGATGAGGCAGGGATGCAGGAAGAGAGAAGACAGACCGGTTGCGTGCTGCTGCTGGGAAATGAATGCTATTACTAATAGCCAGTCGTCACAGATGGAGCCCTGCAAGGGACACGATTTGTTTCAGTTTACCTGATGTTTTCATTGAAGTCAAAACACTTGAAAAATAGTGTTTGTTTTGACAAAAACCTGGGAAACTTGGGCTCAGTGTTGAATTTGTTGGGAGGAAAAAACAAATAAATAAATCACTGTTTCTACAAAAACGTTTTCACTAGGGAGTTAGTAAGAAAAATGCAAACACATGCTAGGGGGTGGAGAAGCTTTCTCCTGATAGATATAGAGAAAAGAAATATATAACATAAAAGCAACTGACTGGAGAAGTATGCTTTTGGCACTGGCTGCTTTTAGGCATTGAACTAGTTAGCATCAGGACCTGGAAATCAGCAACCCAGCCTGACCATCAGCTCATTTGACCATGTCATTTTGGATGACACTGGGGGACAATCATCGGTACTGCAGCATGGCTCTCAGCTCTTCCCTAGCAGTCAAAGGGATGTGCAGATGACTGCTTAATGAATGAAGTGCATTGGAATTAAAATGTCTGCACAGTCTCTTGGCTAAAACATGCTGCAGACTGGAAAATATTATTTAATCTTAATTCTAAGTGGCAATACTTTTGTTATTATTTACTTTTCTGCAGAATGTTAGAGGTGTAGAACTAGGAAAGAAAACTGAGGAGCCTAGGGCAGGAGCAGTGACTGGCATTGATCTTCTCTGTATCAACACACTTTACTACATTTAAAAGACAGCAAGCATTAGCAGAGGAGAGGAAATGTAACTTTGTTTTCTGGTCCTTTTCCTGTATGGATAATATCATATGCTTCAAAGGTTCAGGTATGCATCATCTTACCTGCAAGCTATGCAGAGGGCGGAGAGTAAAGCAAGTGCAAAGACGACGATCCCTGTTATAATTGCCAGCATCATCATGTTTTCTTTTCTCTCCTGCTTCACAGCATCTACAGTGTTGGGTTCAGTGATGTTCTTGTACTCGAAGAGCATTGCAAAGCCTCGGCCCCGGTCTGTGGTGGTGATCAGTTCCATGATAACCTCAACCATTTCCAGAGATGAACCAAAGACCATGGTCTTGTTTAAAGGTGAATTTGGTCCACAGAAGCGAGAGGAAAATGTGATGAGGTCGGAAACGTATAGTACATCATGGGGACACACATCCACTGCTGACTGTGGGCTGGAGGAGATTTCCATGGGCAATACTGTTGTGGGAATAGTCCAGCTCTCTACTGTAACTTCATCTCTCTCACTAGTAGCTAGGTGGGCAAGCAAGATTTTCCCTTTCAAATCTTCTGTTTCCAGGCCACTGGTATTTTGCCTCCGCATTGTGGCACTACCAGCCACAGGGAATGGCAGTTCTGGTTGAGCCTTGGTAATTGCTTTGGGTTCCTTCATCTGCTTTGACTGGTTTTGTTCAGATGCTTGTTTTGCTTCATCTTTTTTTGAAGTGGTTCCTGGAAGTTCATCCAGGTGACTAGCAAGGTCCTTCGACCGATCTCCTGTGCTGCTCAGGTTCTGAGCCATCTTTGACATCCAGGTTTGGAGAGAGGGTTTTGTTGTATGGAGAGAAAAGTCCAGGTTTTCTTCAAGAGAAGGCATGTCCCTATTTCCTGTTTTAGGGGGGGCTGAAAAGCCATCATCCCAGGGGGTTGGAGTTTCACTAGAGCTCTCAAAAATGTCAAAGTCAAAAATTTCCAAGATAAGATGGGTTCTCATGGGAATGAAAAACTGCCAAACGCAGTGTGTCCCTGGGTAATAGTTGTTTGGAAAACCTGGTGATAAAATCAGGCCTCTCTCCATCGATTCCACCACTGCACCACAGGAATAATACACCTGGGAAATAAAACAAATAAGCTTACACCTTGCCAGAGATGATATACATGATGCAGTCTGCTTAGACCTACTGAAGGTCCTACCCTTTTCTTTCCCTTTGGGGACTGGTATAAGATAGCCTCAAGAAAGGGGAATTTGTTAAACTTGTACAATTCTGTTTTCTACTTGCCCATTTGGAGCATTGATCTAATGTGCCTAACATGAAAAGCCAATCTTTGAGACTATGGAAATGTATACTGAATGATCAGCCTCCACAGAAATATAGCCTAGATGAGTAATTTGCATAATTCTCACTTTCTACTACTGATCATAGTAGCATCCACCTCTGCTGTTGGCTAACATACAGCTTTTTGACCTCACAAATGTGTTGTCCTAAACAACTGGTTGTGTGATAAAAATCTTAAGAAGCTAAAGAAAAACTGTGTCACCACAGCATCTTGAACTCTGTGTTATTTTCATTACAAAAACTTTTTTTTTAGTGTAAAAAAGCCCGCCTTACACTGATGATTACCCATGATTCATCTATCTAACTCATCTTCTGGTTCAAAGACATTCAGCCTTGTTTACTTCGATATGCAGTAAAATCTAGGTGGTTTCGATTGGGTAAATTGTCTCCTCTTCAAATGCAAAGCCTCTCCAAATAGCGATAGCAGATTCCAGCTCTCACTAGTAAACTAGCAATCAATATGCATTTTACATAACACAGCAACAGTTCCATGTGAAATTTGCTATTTCTTCTTTCTCCGTAAATAGCCTTCCGTTTCCAAAGAGGAAGGAAGTCCATAAATGGTGGCACTAACTACCGTGCTGGTGCTGCTCCTCTAAAGGTACACAAGGCTGCTTTCATACATCATGTTTACAACTACCTTCTTCCAAAGACACTCTCAGAGCCTTTTTTCAAGATTCTTTCAGACATTTGGAGAGCACAGAGCCCTGTCTGCACCTTGGGTTATTGTTTTTGAAAAGGGGAAAAAAGAAGTCAGAAGTACTTATGCTCCTAGGCAGGGCTTGCGACCTGGGTTTACACGCATTAATTGGAAAAAAAAAAAAAGGGAATGCTTTGGGTTTGGTAGGTATTTTTTTTTTATTGGAAATTATTAGTTGTCTTGGTCTGTTATCTATTTAAACACAAAGGAAGCTTGGCAGTAGAACAAACAAAGCTTATGAAGTCCATAAAAAGCCACAAAGATCAAAATACTCCAGATTTTTTTTTCTCTTAGCCACTCCCCTTGCCTCATATTGAAATAAAAAGGGGGGGGGGGGGAAGCAATGCCAAATGTTGAAAGCCCTTAAATAAAAACAAAAAGCCAGACCTGTTCTGCAAGGCACGACCTTTGTTTTCCAGCAGGTGCTGTTCATATTGTGAGTGATTTCAGGGTGGATGGCAGGATGGCAATAGAAAAGGACCGAAACAGCAACGTGGGTGGAGATTGTATTCTGTATTCAACATGAAATCTGACCTTTCACTTTTAAAAGTGTCATTTAAATCAAAGCTTATGTTAATTATAGGGAAATAAACTACAGGTTTCTCATTTAAGACACCTGGGCTGGACTATGGCTTGAAGTCTCAAGTGGAAAAGAAACCATATTCATGTGCCAAATACATATTATTTTCTGTCTAATGATTTAGGACTCCCACAGCATGTAATACCAAAATAAATTAATAGAAATTTACTGATCTTTTCTCTAGCAGGTAAAATTTTGGGGTTTAGTCTGAATTAGCTAATTCATGCTAAAAATCCAGGTGAAAATGGCAAAACTTTATGTCAGTTTAAGAGGCTACAGATCCTAACATTTAGATCCGTTTGCTAATTCACATCAGAATTACAGATATGTTTGTTGTCACTTGGATTTTACTGAAAACTAGCTGGTTTCCAGGGCATATGTTCCTCTTCCCTCTGGGAGAGGATTGCTCCTACACTTGGAAGAAGGAAAGAGGGCTGTTCTGTGACTTCTCTACTATTCCTTCCCTCTGTCCTGGAACATCAGTGCAGACTTGCCTTTGTCCCATGCTAGTCATTTGAGCATACTTTTAAATAAGATATTTGCATTGCAAGAAACAGTAAATAATGCCTAACTTTTCAACAAAAAAAATATACCCAATTTTGGAGCCAGAATGTGCACCAGAACTGCTGCTGTTGCAGGGCACTCCTCCTGGATGTGGGAGGATTACAGATTGGCACAAACCTCCTTAAATTAGCAATGATTGAGGGTTGAGATTTTATTTTGAGGAGTATGTGAACTGATCTAGTTGCCTTTTTTCAGACACTGAGAAGGCGCTTGGAGGCGTTCGCAGCCCCACCTCTACTACCAGAAGACTTTGTTAACACCCAAAAGCAGCAGCCATCGGTTCAGCGGATCTTGTGGGATTCATCACCAAAGTGCTGAATGGGTAAGCGCATCCCCCCGTAAATCCATCGCCCCCGCTCTCAGGATAGGCTCCCTTTCCTGCCTGCATTTTCACTTGAATCTGGCATCATTTGAAGAGAAATATCTCACAGACTCTGTGCACATCCAAGGAGTCTTGGATTCAAACTCAAATGCCTCTTGTTCCCCTACGAACCACGTGGCCACCAGTTGGCTGCAGTATCTAGCTGAATCCCAACAGGTACACTGCATCCCCGAACCCAGGCGGGGGGGGGGAATATATTCAATGTGTGCATTCCAGAATTATGGCTGAAAGGTCACGGCAGTGGGGGAATTGTTCATTTATTATGGCTTGGGAGACTGAAAAGATTCAAGACTTGCTCTGAGACCAGGAAAAAAAAAAAACAAAACCACAAGGGACAGGAAATGCAAGACAGATCCAAGGGGGGGGAAAGGATTTCTGATTAATTTATAATCCATGACTGAATGAGTGACAAAACTGTTTAGTTCATTTGAATCATCCATTACGAAGGCTGAGCTTCATTGATTAGACACAGATGTTCCCTTCTGCAGCAAGCTATAGACTCACGAGCTTTTGACAGAGGCATGCAAAAAATTTGGCACATTTTTAATCTTTGCAAATGATAGGTGGTTGTTTTTTAAAAACAACACTTGATATATGCCCACACCACTTAGGTCAATTATGAGCAGGGAGAACCAGATTACCAGTCCTGTTGTTCTGCTTTTCAGTACTTCCCACTCTGGCTAGGAGTCCCAAATATTTAAAACAGTTGGGCTGAACTGAACCTTCAGCCCGCTGTGGTCAGACGTACCCTACCTCCCTTCTGAATCAGGATAACGGGAACAGCATTTAGTAGGTTGCAGAGAAGGAGTAACTCAAATCTCAGCTATTGCTTTTTGGGCAGAAATACAATGGTCGGATATTTCAGAACGTGCCAAGACATTGCATTTGCCCTTTTCACACTATGCAGCCCACTCAGAACCTTAATTTTATGCCCATAACTAAAAAACGCCCCATTGTCACGCACTTACTTACCTCCTCCAGTGCTGACAATTGGACTCTCTAGAAATGACTAGCTAATATTTGCATCAGCTTTGAGCTACTTAAGATACACGTATGTAAGGAGTTACAAGGCCTCTGCACCAGGAAACGCAGGGCTAAGGAGTACAAGGCAGGAGCTTGTGCTAGTCCCTCGTAGGTAATTCTGGCAGCGGTGCCCCAATGGTGAGACAAATGCCGTGCTGCCCTCTGAAGTGCAGGTTTGCGACAAACCCGTGTGCGATGCAGTTGTAGAGAGCCTGAGAGTTTTTCTTAAGCAGACAGCTGTGTCGTTTTGGAACAGATGCAGCCACAAGTCACTGCGAGCCATTATTCAGAAATCTCACCGCAGACACCAGCGTCTCTCTCAAAGGACCCTTGATGTTTAGGGGTGCAGCATGAAGCCAGTATGTGATTTCTTCAAACTGGACGCTATACACCAAATTGCTCTTGGGAAGCAGATGGCAGTCAAAAAGCAGAATTTCCATGCAGGAAAGGGGGAAAATAATTGGTTTGGCCAGATGGGAGTTTATTGTAAGGCCCAACCATGTATATGCACAGGAAAGAGCAGTTATAATCAACTGAGTAATATAACTCTCAACTCTCTCCACTTGCACAGCTCCTACAAATGTAGCCCTGGAGCCTCTGCGTTATTCCAGTAGGAACATTGTCAGGGAATCAACACATTCTAAGGGAATCCTGCTACGAGAAGAATTTAATTAGCACCCTTTCTTTAATCATGCTTACTGCCAAAGGAGTCACCAGACTAGAGCTAGAGCAGAGGCACGCACAGAAGCAAGCTCTTCATTTTGCCAGGACAGGACAAGTTCTCGCGGCACTTTACAGGAAAGCCAGGAGACCCTCCAGGGCGCTTCCCCTGGAGCGAAGCCACGTTCACCCCTTCTACAGCACGCTCAAAACCTGCAGGAGGGTCTTGCAAAAAGCCACGAATGGCAGGTCGTGGCAGCCTCTAGCAGGCCCACAAGAGCTCTTGAGCGATGGGTACCAGCCTCTGCCTGACTCACTAGAAACAGGCAGGGCTCAGCTTCTCCAGCTTCTCTGTCCTGCCTCCAAGAGAGAAATGCTTCTGGCATGAGGTGGTGCTGGGAGCCCAGAGGGAATGTGGGGAGGATGCTGTGACACATGGCTAGTAAGAGAAGGTGGTTTAGCTTGTAAACATGTAAGAGAAGCGAAGTGGAAACAAAGTGATGCAAGGTCCTAGCTAGGGATACTCTCAACCCATTTGTGCTCATAGTTTTTGCTG